GTTATTTTATTTATATTGATTTATTTATTTTATTTGCACAATAGAAATTGCTTGCTTTTTTTAGATTTCTTTATTGCATGTCTCTATGTCTGATTTCGCTAAGCTCTTTAGGAATAAAATCTTTTCTACTCATAATTAAAATATAATATTTTAGGAATTAAATAACAAAAAAACCTAACAATCTAGGGAATAGTCATAATCATCCGGGGTCACATACATATTAATGCATCTTTTCTTTCCTTGCTTTAAGACACTTTCCCGCCAACGGATAGAGTCCAGATAATCCAACCTATGAGAATGAGGTGCTGGATCTAGGGAAGTCTAATCTTTCTAAAAAATTATTTTATAACCCTTTTTAAAATTTCAGGCATATCTGATTAGGAGACTTTCAACTAGCATGCATTATATTAGAAATTAATTAAATCAAAATTTTAATTGCATTAGTTATAGAAGCATTCTACGCCATATAAGTATAAGGCCACTTAAGAACCTCTCTTAATGTTGGACTAAACTCTTAAAAACTCAGTCACTCACCCATCTTTCATAAAGACTAGATAACATGAATTTTATATAACTAGGTGGTTAGCTGTTTTCCTTTTTAGGTAGGATATAAGTCCATGATGCATTAGCTAGAACACGGGTGTTAGTATTATGTATAGAATACTAGTCACATTCTAAATTTAGGGTTTAAAGCTACTACTATCGGTGTCTCGTAGTACACTCCATCGGTGGGTAAGTCATTTATCCTTCAAAGGATATAAACCCTATTTATTTGTGTCACATGGATGACACCACCTTCATCCTTCTCTCTTGTATGCTCTAAGTGTATTGTTTATTTCTTTTCTCCAGATTCTTCTCATGACCTTAGTCCCTTTGGATGTTGAAGTGAGCCGTGTATGTTGATTAAGCCAAGTTGAACACTTTTATTCCTTTTGAGTAGGAACTTTACAGTATCCTTCCTATGTGCCAATCCCATATGAGAGGATAATATAAGATTCTTAATCGAGAGTCTTCTTAGGCCCCAGCTTAAGATGCAATTAACCATGGGGGCTTGTTCCCATGGGAAATTGAGTCCCACATCAAATAAACCCCACTTGAGCTGATATATTGGGTGGGGGGAAACCCCGTGACTCCGATCATGTCATACATATTTTTACCCATTGAGGTACGTATGCGAGAGACACTATCCTCAATGGTTAATCATATGTATGATATAATCTGCCCTCCTATTGGCCAGCTTGCGAAGAGCACAAAGGTCTGCGATCATCTTCATCCTTTGGGATGGTGCGGCCGTACCCTTTGCATTTTGTCTCCCGCACAACAATATTCCTTTCGGAGGTCCACAGTTAATTCCAGCAAATTTAGCTTGTATTCTAACAGATGCCCGCTAGAAGAAGTTGATTTTCTTATAGTGAGAAAGGAGTCCTTGATGATCTTCTAAAGGAAAATAAATTGTTCAATTAAAAATCTAGCTTAAAAGCAAAAGTATGAATAGTTTTATTAGGGTGAGCATAACTAAATGCAAGCCTATTCCTTAAAGGTTATAAGAAATACTCGATAGAGGACTTCAACATAAGCTTGCTGAATGTTCATGATGGTCTTGTAGCGGCTAATATACTAAGATTAGTCAGAAGTTTCATCATATGGATTAGTTACAATTAACTTAAACCCCACAAGAATATGATACTGGAGAATTACATCAAGCAAGGTAAAGACTCTTAAAGGTTACAACAAGAGATAAGTTAGTTCATTTAAAATAAAGGGAGTTCTTTTTGAATAAAGTATTGCAACTTATTTCTTATGGCATTACAAAGGGTGTCAATAATACGATGTTGAGTTAAGTCATCCATGATTTTTGGAGGATTACAGATTGTTTGAGCAACATAAGAAGGATGGATGGAACTAGCTATATTCAAGAGAGCATGATGAGATTGTGGTAAAATTAGTGCTTTAACATAAGAAGGTACTGTCTGAGTGGCATCAAATGGATAAGTCCCAAACTATTATTGATTTTATATTGGGAGAACTCCATTATATAATGGTACTCTTTTTTTTTTTCAGCCTCTTCTAAAACTTGAACGATTTAAACTTAAAGTTCTTTCATACCATGAATAAGATTCTCTAAAGTGAGGTATGGATAGCATTCTCCATGTAGATTGTGTTATCCTTGATTAAGAGACTAATTGTTGGCCATAAAAAAATATTTGTAATATGATAAAAATATTTTCTACTGACAATGTCAAATTATTATGTGTTAGAAAATTTATGACAGTAGAAAGAGTGCGTTTAATTTTTAACTTTCTACAAAGATCTAGCACATGTCTTAGCATTTTGATTGTTCTATTAGATCCTATTTTGTAAGCCTAATTTCCTTTGCTTGATTTATTTTTTTATTCATTTTATTTTCTTAATTATCCTCTTTTGCTTGTCTGTGCTTCTCCCTTATATGCATGGTTACCATGGGTTCGTGTTGGTTTTGTTCATGTTCTAGTTGTTTTTATCTTTTGATTTTCACTTTTATCATTTTCTCTCTTATGCAAAATGTTTGAGTGCCTTAATTTAATTCAAATTAGTTTTTGTTTTGAAAGGATTAATTATTGTGTAATATTATGAATAATCAGCAATCAATTATTGAGAAAACCATTTGGATTTCAAAGGGATCAAAGTAATTTTCCAAGGTGGTGTGGCTGGTCATACAAGGAGAAGAGGGAAGGTAATTTTGCTTCATTTATTTACAAGAATATTAACTGGAAACAACATATTTCATATAAAAGATTAACCAAAATGCTTTATATTAATTCCAAAATAGACCTAATATATTTAAAAAATAATTTATATAATCATATTTTAAATTTTAAATTTCTATTTTTATGATAACAAAAAAATTCATGTAGAAATGTTAAATTTATAAATAATAAAATTTTTAACATAGCATTATCACAAGATTATTAACCAGTTATGAAAGTAACATTAAAAGCTAAAAAATAATGTATATGAAGGTATATTTTTTTAATTCAAATATAATAAAATTTTATTTTAATTTCATTTGGATTTAAAAATTTGTAAATTCAATCAAACTACTTCAGTATAGTTATTTGGCAACTAGGACTAATTATGAGCTTATTTTGTTATGTTATGCAGTTTATTAAATTTCTATGCATTTCAATGTCACTAACAAACTTACATAACCATGAAAAGAATGTCCTCAGCTCCTTTGCATCTCTCATGAAGCTCCTCAAGTGATTTTATGACCACTTCAATGTCTTGGTCACCTATATATCATGCAAGCCAAATGATTTTTTTTTTTCTAATTACTCTCGCAGCACTTAAGTTTTATTTGAGATAATTTTTTTAGTGCTTTCTAATATTACTTTCTAACAAAAAAATTTATAGTTTAATCGATTTTTATACTTCGAGCACCAACATTGCTTTTGGCCCTGCAACCTCATCGTCGCCTTATTGGTGCCATTTTTTGCCAGATTTTTTTTTTCTTTCGCATACTTAAAGATTAATCTCATTTTCTTTTTTATTTTTCAATCAATTTGAAATTTTATCTGTAAGTTTTTGATATTGTGGCTTCTAAAATATAGGAATAAGGGTTTAAAAATATTTTGAAAAAATAGTTATATCTTAATTTTTATTTATATTACGAATGCATTCTTAGAAAATATTTATATTTTTGGTCAAGTTACCTTTCATTGTTTTACAGATATTTTCACATATAGGATCCGAGTTAAAATTTTAGGCAAAATATTTGTTTAGTGTATTTACATTTTCATTGGATTTTTTTGATCCATTTAGTTTAGAAATTTATTGTCCCAAGTTAGTAAAAGTTTCTATAAGAATTCTAGGTTAGATTTAATTTAATGTTTTTAGTAGATTTATACTTTATTATAATTTATTTAAAAAATTTTGTATATATATTTGAATATTTTGTGCATTTATATATTGTCGTGTATATCAAATTAAAATTTTATTTTACATAGAGACAACGTTAACATGGATGTTTAAAGCTAAAACTTGCAAAACATATAATAGGCTTTGACTTAAGCATAAATGATTAACTGACGAATTTATCAAAGGAGTTAAATAATTCGTTCATGTAGCTACTCAACAACTTCATCTTCATTTATATGAATGAACCGCCCACAGGAGGATTAGATGAATTTCTGAGAAGATTAGACGAATTTTTTAGCGAGTTCAAGAGGGGGAGAGAGAATGATGTGATTAAATTTGTAGAAAAGATCACCTTAATGGTGAAGGACTTCTAAATCAATGAAAATTAAACTAGAAGAATGGAGAATTTCTGTTTATTGAATTTGAACAGAAATACGGCAATAGGAAAAAGGAAAGGCGAGACATCCAAAATTTAGTTGAGATATAAGCAGACTACGGAAGGAACTAAAATATGACGGATGCTTAAAGATGGGTCTCTTGTGTTAAAATATATATATATATATATCTTAAGGGATTGAAAATTATTAAAATAAAATCTTTTTTTTTATTGCTCTAATTAATTGACACTACATTTTTTTTTTCACAAATTAAAAATAAAATAATATTTAAAATACGTTGCCTTCTATCAAAAAAACTTGGAGCTCTAGGACCCAAAACAGTTAAAACCCAGACTAGCCAAATTTTTTGAGAAACTCTCGATTAGTTGTGTGAGAGACCAACCCCTAAAGCTGGATATCTAATTTGTTGGAAGACCCATTAACAATATAGCTGCAATACTAACAATTGAAGATCAAGTGATGTGCTGATTTCATGTATCCATAGTGTGCTGAAAATGATAAACTTCGGTCTACTAATGCAGGATGGTCAAAGAAATATTGTTTTTTCACAAAATATAATCCTTCTGGAACCAAATAAACTAATCATGAGGAATGACTGGAATAGTCCCATAGATCCATACTAACAAATGCAAGAACGTTTACTTTACTACATCTAAAATTGCAAGGAAGGAAAAAATACTAGAAGTTCGATGCAAACATTCAATATATAAAAAAAGAGTAATGCTTAACACACTTAAAAAAATAACACATTTGGTCACATTCCATGTCCCATATAAGAGGAACTAATATAATGCAAATGTGTAAACACATGAGAATGTTTAGATAGCATTTCTTATAGAAATGTTCAGTTGGGATCCCATAGGCAAACCGTTTCCTCCCTTCCAGAAAAATTCTGTCCAGTCCCCAGGAAGAATTTACTTCGTATTCAGCAAAAAATACAACACAGAAAGACATTTAAATTCATTTCTCTAATGATGAAGAACCTTTAAGCGTCCAATTAATCCATAAGTGACAACTAAGCACTCCAAGACAATACAAAATAGACTTAGCTCGCTGCTTTCACACTAAGAGATGCCACTGATTCAAATAAACCAAAATATAGTATCTAAATTGTTACTCGTGCAATTTAACCGGTTCAATGTTTGCTGATTTTAAACTTGGTGAATTGCAGTGATCATCATGATACATAGACTCAGAAGAAGGTACCTTCAGGAGGCTGAACAAGTTTCCTGTTCTGCGGGGCAGCCATTTCCTTCTTCAGTTGTGTCAGTATGTGCTCCATCGTGTACTCACGCTGCCAGTTTGACAACATGCTAAACTTCTTTGACTCTACCTGCATTTGTTCAAATGATCTTGAGCTTAACAGCTCGTCTAAATTTATAAATATATGAGATATTTGAATTAAACAAATAAAGTCAGCAGGGAAGTGTAAACATCAATATGGGCAAGTCCCTAGGAGGAATTGGTCAGATTTTGAAAAATCATACAAGGGAGGCCCAACATTAGATGCATGAAAGAAAAGAAAGTCAAAAAGGTAGATGTTGCTCAGTCCACACCGCCTAAACGAAGTTTATAAGCATACCACATACAACGATGTTGCAAGGAAAAAGATAACACAAACATCATTTATTAATATCTGCAACAACTAAACAGTTTATTTGATTTTATTCTGAAAAAAGAAAGAAATAAAAAAGAGAGAACATACCACTCCTGTATCATGATTGACACAAGTCATGTTTATTCGGGAGTGGAAGCGCACAGATGGTGGCTTGTCAGGATAGTCTTTGTCACAAAACAGCTTAAGTTGATAAATCCTCCCTTCGTGAACAGACTACATTGAACATGAAGATACAGACCAGTACAATAGTTTATACTTTTCCATGATCTAGAAATAGAATTTGCATAATTAATAAAGAATACTTTACATTGTGAGGGCCAATTATAGTCCCCGTCCAGGACCGCATGTAAATGTCATCTGCATCTTCCATGCCATAGCTAACAGTCCCATCACCTATACCTTTCTCCCCTCGCTCAAGCTCTTCAAGCAATCTGAAGTTCCGAGGAACTGCACATTAACACAAACATTCACAATCAAATCGTTCTAAGTGCTACCAAAAGTCCAGTTGAAGACTGCAATTAGATTCTTGAGATAAAAATTTCATCTAAGAAAGGTGGTGACACCGTCCAAGACATTAAAAAAAAAAGACAAATAGCCTAGAACTGGTAATGATAGGCCTTCTTGAATGCTAGAAGGTTCCGAAGAATCCTTGTTGCAGAATTCTTGCACCGGAAGCAGGGGACAGCGGCTGAAATTATGATATCAATAGTTGTTTGGAGAACTAGGAAGTGGACTGCATCATTCTGGGAGGAAGATCTTGCCTTTCGGGTCGTTTGGAGAAGGTATAGCAGCCTACATGTAGGGAGTACAGCAGCCTTCTTGGCAGCTGGACAGCACTTCTTGACTGCTGAAGGAGGAAGACAGCAGGTAGGGAATGAAAAAACCCCTGGCTGCTTGCTGATTAGATAGTTCAGGTCCTGAAGAGGCGTACGCACTGAGGCGCGACTCAAGGCGAGGCGAAGCATTTGCGCGTTGAGACTTACGCCTCATTGGATTCGGCGGAGCGTGCACTTATTTCGCACGGGGCGTAGGCTTCGGTTCGTAACGCCTCGAAGCGAAACGAGGCACCGCTTCGATTTGTAAGTATATAGACCGAGCGGTGAGAGTCGTATAAGAGTCGAGTATTAGGGTAACATACCTGCTTCTGCTTTGGGTAAGAACTGAAAGGCGAACTCCGCCGACTTCGACGACCACAGTTCGGTCGAGTTCGAACATAGCTGGAGGCGATCGAAGGTAACGATTTATTTCTTCTTCTTCTCTTGCTTCCCATAATCTTCCCTTCATTTGCTTCATGTCTCGCTTCTTCTTCTCCAACTTCCTGTAATCGAAGGTTCTTTTTTCACGGCTAGGTAATGATCTTTCTTCCCGTTATTTGCTTCATGTCTCGCTTCATCAGATTGTACATGCTCAGTACCGCTCGGTACATGCTCGGTACCGCTCAATACATGCTCGGTACCGCTCAGTACATGCTCAGTACCGAGCATGTACAGCTCGGTACTTAGCGGTACATGCTCGGTACCGACCAGTACCGAGCATGTACCGAGCATGTACTGCTCGGTACCGAGCGGTACTGCTCGGTACCGAGCGGTACTGAGCGGTACATGCTCGGTACGCTCGGTATTGAGCATATACAACAAGCAGAATTTTAAAATTACGTAGGTCGAACCCCACTAGGGGGCAGCGCCCCCTTGGACCCCCGGCAGACTGGTATATATTTGTATTCATGTTGTTTTATTATTGGTATTTGGTAGTACAAATAATTGTTAAAATATATCCTATTGTTAGCATGACTAGTGGCACAAGAAGGAAAGACCCTACATGGAAATATGGAACTCAAGTTGAAGTGTCAGGTGAAGGTGCAAAGAAGGGATATGTTTACATGAAATGTAATTTCTATGAGAAACGCATAACTGGTGGCGTCAAGAGATTGAAGGATCATCTAGCCTGCACTCATGTCAATGTGGGACCATGTGCAAAAGTTCCTGATGAGGTGAAGAAGGAATGTACAAATTATTTAAAGAAGTTTGTCACCACAAAGGAGGTCACACAAAGAAATATGGAAGAGATGATAGGAAACTCTTCTTATTATGGATCACAGCATGAGGGTTCAAGTACTGGAAGTCATATAGTTTCTTCTGATCGAGGCAGTCGGGGGCCCATGGATAGATTTATGCTAAATATTGATAACGACGAAAACATAAATACTCAGGATATTCAGCCTCCTACAGCTACAAAAGAACTCAGGAATAGAGTTTGTTTGGATATCGCCAGATTCATTTATGAAAATGGGATTCCATTTAATGTTGTTAGGAGTCCGTCGTGGATCAATATGTTACGATCTGTTGGAAGCTATGGAAGAGGATTACAACTTCCAAGCATGTATGAGCTGAGAACTTGGATGCTGAATGAGGAGGTTAAGACAACTTCAAAAATGGTGGATGATGTTAAGAAGACTTGGATTAAGACAGGAGTGACAATAATGTCAGATGGTTGGTCAGATATTCGACATAGAAGTATTATTAATTTTTTGGTCAACAATCCATATGGAACAGTTTTTCTCAAATCAATAGATGTTTCAAGCTTTGTAAAGGATGCACAATTATTGTTTGAAATGTTGGATGAAGTTGTGGAGGAAGTGGGAGATGCCTTAGTAGTACAGGTTGTTACTGATAATGCAAGTGCATACAAAG